CTTGGTGCTGCATTTTTAAAAGAATTGCAGTCAAACTGGAATAAGTTCAGAAAAGTAAAATAAAGATGGGTTACAGAAAACATATAAATAAAGACTGAAGGAATTTATTATATTTAGCTTGGAAAACAGAAAATATTCCTTTCTTATATGATGATGCATTTCTGATAATGATAGCTAGATAAAATTTTGTAAGGCAGGAAACCAAAGTAGAATTCACTTAACAATGCAAATATACTAAAGGAGATAACAACAATTCCTGGATATCCACATCAGCAGAAGAAATGACGGCAAATTAGAAGCGTAAGTCTATCAAAAAACAACCCACACTAACCAAGTGCTCCATTACCAAAGTAACAACTCAACCTCCTACAAGAGGAGCTGTGTAAGAACATTATTCAGACAAGCACAAATGCACTGCAGCAACCCAGAACAGCAGAAAAAGAACACAGACCACCTATACAACACCTTCCAACAAAAAGGATACCCACGCAATTTTATCAAAAAATGCCTGACCACTCAACCCACTACAGCATAACCAATACAAGCTATGAAAAGGATAACACTGCCATACATCAGAATTGTCTCAGAAATAACCAACAGACTATTACAACCACATGGCATCACCGTAGCACACAAACCAACTAAAGCCCTTCAAAACATCTTAAATAACCCAAAAGAACCAGTAGCCCAAGAAGAAAAAACAGGAGTCATCTACAACATATAGTGTAAGGACTGTATTCTGTATTCTGGAAGGAAGTGGCTTTGTGGTTAAAATAGTACCAGTGTTGCCCAGAACCATGTCCTATAGAATTTCTTCCTGGATGAAATGACCAATCAAAGTATATTTACATATTCTTTTGAAACCTTTTATCCCAATCCAACTGCCAGTCCAAATAACTTGTTTTGAATAGTATCGCAAGTGCCTTGGCCTGTCAGTTTCTTTTGACTTCCTGTCTGTCCATTACTATATTTTCCTGGGTCTGAAGCACTAACTCTTTGTTCCAGATTGATTGGAAAGGATCTACTTGGGTTGCTTCACAGAACACCTGAAGCAAGCTTTGGCCTATTCTCCTAATGCAATTTGCTCTCAAAAATTTGGCTTTCCCTCCTGGCTGCATTTATAGCTATTTGTTTGGACAACTGTGCTTCTGCATTTTTCTGTTTCATAGTTCTGATTCTATCAGTTTTACTTAGGGGGAGTTGCTAGGAAAGCTACTTATAGCTTATATAAGCTACTTACAGAAAGAGTAAAAATCAACCCATAGAGCTTTTTGCAGGCATTTGAAGTGTACTAGAAGGGATTAAGATTCTGTTTGCTACAAAGATCAGTTTAGGAAATTAGGGAGCTAGCAAAGTGCCAAAAAAAAAGGCAGGAGAGCTCTGATCCTTCCTTAAGGACTGGTGGACAAGAAAGAACAATTTATTTCATCTTCTCTCTCTATCTTAAAACAAGCACACAGGATCAAAACAATGGCTAAAATATGTGCAGGTTTGGAGACTGACTACATGACAGCAACCACCACAGCCTGCAACAGAGTGCTACTGGTCACCAAAAATGCCCAGCCCTTCTTATTTCTCCTGTAGTTACAAATTGCCATCACTGTGTTGCCTTGCCTCACGCATAAAAGGAATTCCAGTGCAGATCCTGACACGTCTTGGTTTCAAATGTTATTTCACTGTGACCAGATGTCCTATCTCTGTATTGGTTACATGCCCTTCTGTAGCAAGTCACAAAACTGAGTGTTAATTCTGATCCTTTGGTCATAACGAATACAGGAAACGAGAGACAACTTTGACTTTGTTCACGGGTGGAGGAGTAGGCAACTGGATGTCCACACTAAGAGAAAGGGTAATATTTAAAAAGCAGAGGGATAGAGTTTCTTTTACTGGAAGCATAGAAGAGTATATCATAAGACATGATTGAAAACAGTCTGATGATTAAATAATCTATTACCAGGATACCATATATTAGGAGAAATATAAATACACAGTTAGAACTGCTATAGTTATTTTCTCTTCTGCTATAACTGCTATTGTTATTTTCTCTTAAAGGCAGCCTGATTAATTCAGTGGGACTTACTTTAAGTACACATATATAGAATTGCCCTGCTAGGGATACAGACAAGTAAAGATCACTTTTCTACCTATGGGCATACAAAATCAAAACAGGTAATTGAGGAACAGCAGGGAATAGAGATCCACATCTAAGTAGCTCCTTGTATCCCCAGTGATGAATCACTGATAGATGCAGGCAGCTCCCATCTTTTTTCAGTGTGGTCAAAGATAGGTCTATAGCAGGAAAAGCGAGTAGAATGGTGTGATATAAGGATTTTAGTGGCGTGGCTTGGCTGCTCTTGTGCTGGCATGAGTCAGCAGAAGCAGAGAATAAAAAGGGGAGAGGAAACTCAGGTATGCCCTTGGAGTACAGCTGTCACAAGGACTCATGAGCATGAACGATCCTGCTAGCCAGGACTGTTGTGGGACAGATGTAGGCAGCCTTTCCATCAGTCAAGCCTTCTATATAATAAAGCCCTGAAGGGGAAAACCCACTACCTCAGTTGCTGGGGACATGCTGGTGGTCTGACCTGCAAAAGAGTGAGAGATAGGAGAGAAACAGAGAGATATGTTGCTATGTTTTAGCAAGTATTGCAGAATGTGCTGCTGGAGAGACTGCATTAGGAATTCTAAAGGTAGTCCTCAACTTACAACCATTTGTTCAGCAACTGTTCAAAGTTATGGCGGCACTGAATGAAGGGATGGACAACAGGTCCCCAAAGTTATGTTGCAGCACCCCCGCGGTCATGTGATCAAAATTCAGGCGCTTGGCAGCCCACCCACATTTATGACCGCAGGGGAGCTTCAACTCCCTCTACCCCCTGCCTCCCCTCCCATCTATGCTCTTTTGGCCCCCTGCACCCTGCGGCCCATACTGCCCTAGATGACCTTCACCGTCTTCTTGCTGTCACTGCTGACCAAGCATGCCCAGCCTGGCCCTTTGCGAGGCAGCTGCTGGCTGCATGAGGCTTCTTTCCCAAGGTTGTGCACAGTGGTTTCCTTGTGAGACCTGGGGAATATGGCCTCACGTGGCCAGCAGCTGCCTTGCAAAGGGCCAGGCCAGGTATGCCTCGTCAGCAGCGGGAGCAAGACGACAGTGAAGGTCAGCTGGGGCGGCAGAGTGCAGAGCACAGGGCAGCAGGGACCTCAGAGTGCAGGGTAGTGAGGGCAACTGTGGCTAGGACTAGGCTGGGGTGGCTGGGGCTTCTGGGGGCGTGGTGGCTTTGCGCTGCGCTGTTGGGGCTTCCCAGATGCGGTTCTGGGGCTGCTTGCCACCCTGCAAGGCAGGATGCAGGGTGGCCAAAAGGGCAGAGATGGGGGGAGATAGATGGGTGGGGGGAGTTAAAAAGAAGCAGTCTCTTATCTTACCAAAGCTTGGGGCTGGGAGGGACCAAGCCCGAAATGGCTTGGATTTGAGTGGGTCCCTGGTGAACTACCAGTGGAATTTGGTTAACGATGGCAACAGGGAGTGCTGGGATTGCCACTGCTAAGCAATGCAGCCATGTGACGTCATGTTTTACGACGGCATTGCTTAGCGATGGAAATTCTGGTCCCAATTACCATCATAACTTAAGGATTACCTGTACTGGAAAGAAACGCCCTAGTAAGTGTGGAAGAGAGTTTGTGCAGTTGCAATTTCCTGGCCCCAGGAGGGAGAAGCTGACAGGAGGCTTCCCCTGATAGAAGAGAAGCAATACCCAGACAGAAGGAGGAATTACACCAAAAACCCAAGGCAGCCTGGCTGCAGACAGATGCCTGTATCTTTGGGGAATCCCCAGACCAGGAAGAGCTGGCAGAAGACCCAGAGGGAGGTGCATAATGCAATAACTATGCAGAGGATCAGCTGATGAGATCCAAGAAGGCAAGACACACTAAGCACACTCTATGGTAATACAGCTGATTCCTTTCCTATCTGTCTTAGTGAGAAACTGTAGGGGCGGGGAGGAGGAGAAAGTGGGGAAGCTGGTAGCTTAACAAGGGAGCTGGTGATTATTAGTGAACAGCCCTGAGAAAGAGGCTTGGAGAAAGTGACACTTTGTACACATAAGTTCCTACTTGCTATAATAGTTGCATATAATAAAAAGAATAATAAAAGCCTCCACTGTCTCTGTGTTGTGTTCCAACTGTCTTCCTTAACAATAAAAGCACATCCAGCTGCCAAAGAATCTACAGCCACACTGTGACAATAGAAAAGCAACATAGGAAGAAACGGTACAAATAAATAAAGGGGGCAGCTATGTGTAATAAAGAGAAAGGATCAGTACTTGATTCACAGTCATCTGACCAACTCAAAAGACATGGTCTCAGGTTCTAGTGCAATTTAAAAAATTGGGGCACTGAAAAAACAGAAGACCCATCTGTTCAGGAGGAAGCTCCACTGATGCAGAACTGGAGTTCCTATTATTTTAAATGGATTAAAATTAATGGGAGAGAAGCAGTGTTATGAGAGAACAAATACATAAAAAGGCAGATGCAGCAGGATGGGAAGGGTTAGGGTGAGGAGAGCAGCACATCAAGCACAACCAAGTTATTCAGTTGGATTGCCAACATAACTAACTGACAGTTATGGAAGCTCCAATCATGTTAACAGGTATGAGAAATATACAATGTTTCAGTTGTTAGCCTACAGCCTCATCATTCCTGGCCATCTTGGTTGGGCCTGATGCAAACTGGAATCCAATAGTATCTGGAGGGTCAGAAGTTCCCAACCCAACTCTTAGCTTTTCAGATTGTAACATTTAGAATTAAGAAATTTGTCTGTGGCTTTGCATCTACATCCCAAAAGCCTTGTACAAAGCTCCAATACATAATGCTTTTATATCCACAATTTGTCATTAAAGATTGAAAATAGGGTGTGGGAGAAGTCAGAGAACTTTACAAAAAAAAAAAAAGCAGATAATTTTTCTTTTTATCATATTGGAAATACTATTTCAGCCAATACATACCAAGCAGATTTTTTTGTTGCAACAGAAATTCTGGTTCTTTAGAAACCTGAACTTCAGCAATAATTGTTGATAATGGCGTTCCACAGTATGTGACCTGAAAACAGCAGACAATATATTAGTCATTTGAACTGAAGAAAGCCCTTGAAAGAAGTGCTTCACAAGTAATTAGCAGGAGTGTGGATGAAGTGGCTCCCTTCGAGTCCTTAAAACAGCTGGATCTTTTGCAACACTTATGTAACTGCCTTGGGAGCTGCACCCAGCTAAGAGCATGTTCCAATGCAGGCACACAAGCTTTGTAAAATACTGTGGATGTTTTAAAAATATGAAGAGAGGTTCTTCACTCACAATTCTGTGGGTTACAAAGCATCTTTTTCAACAATTTTGCATGTTATACTTAGTTATTGAAGGTTGTTTATTTTTCTTTTATGATAAACCAAGAAACGTTCAACTTTTCCAAAATTATAGATGCCCTTTGTACATTTTCTGCAAGTAAAGTATAAGAAAATAAAAACCCAGTGTCAAATATAGAAGATGATACAGTGTATGTATGTATGTATGTATGTATGTATGTATGTATGTATGTATTTAATCACATTTGTATAGCCACCCATCTCACATAGTGACTCTGGGCAGGCACATCATAAAACAGTCAAAATACATAAAAAATCATTAAAACAATCAATTTAAATTAAAAATAAAATAAAATAAAATAAAATAAAAAGCAGAATGGTGGCCAAACAAAGAGTGTATTCCATTAACTGTCATACAACCATCTAACAGGCTCCACTCTGTCATGGGATTCCCAAGCTAATTGACTGAACCATCTTTTAAGGGCCTTCCAGAAGGCCAACAGGGTTAGAGCCAGCCTCACCTTGGGGGGCAATGATGTTCCACAGGGTGGAGGCCATGTCAGAGAAGGCTTTCCTTCTAGGTCCAGCCCAATGAAACTCCCTGGCCTACAGGGCCCGCAATATGCCTCTCCTGCCAGACCTGATGGGGCAGGTAGATGTAACCAAGGAGATGTAGTCCCTTAAATATCCTGGTCCCATGCCATGTACGGCTTTAAAGATTATAACCAGCACCTTGTATTGGACCTGGAAGCAAACTGGCAACCAGTGCAGTTCACACTGCAGAGGTGTAACGTGCAGATCTTAGAGCACACATAACTGCCCACGCTGCTACATTTTGCACCAGCTAAAGCTTCTGAATACTCTTCAAGGGCAGCCCCACATAGAGAGTGTTACAGTAGTCCATTCGGGAGGTGACTATGGCATGAGTGACTGAGAGTAGATCTGCAGCAATTATTTTCTGATTTTAGCTAATGATCTGAAAATGTCCATTTGAACAAAGAGTTGTTTATATAATAGAATATGCTTTTTCCATATATACTAAAATATATATTTCCCATTTGAGCTTGGTGATAGGTTTAGAATTTTTTTCCATTTGTCAAGCCTTACTTTGAAGCCCCAGCTAGAAAACCCTCTTCTCAAATCAATGCTACACAGGTTTGTTGAGTGTATGTTGGTTTCCACAGCAAGGGCAAGCAGAGACAAATGACTAAATAAGCATCACAATGCATGTTATACTCCTTTTACATGTGCATCATGATGTCACACACATGTACATAAGGGATACAGATTTCATTACAATATGATGTAGTTTTTTGTCATTCTGACAAAACCTCTGGATTCTGCAGAGGCCTTTGTGAGTGCAGTTGTGTTACACTAGTGGTACACTATCAGATCCTAGTGGTTTTCTTCACATACCAACCAGCTCACCTCTCTTCCTCAATATATCAATCTTTTAATGCCTGGGTTATGAGAGTGTAGATGCTTTGCCATTCCATAACATTTTGTTGCCATCTAGGATCCAGTTTTGGATTGCAAATCCTCCTTGTACTAACCTAGTCTTAGCCTTCACCCAAGCAACTGGTCTCATTTGAATGGTGTGTAAATATGGTTTATTTCTATGTGTTTATTGATGGCTGCTTTGAATTCTGTTTTAACAGTCACAAATGACACATTCCAGACTGAAATACATTTTTAAAATCACTGTGATACCCTAGTATGATGAAGTTTTCATTTTACTAGAATGCAAAGCATCTGATCAAAGAATCTAATGAAATGGACAACTCTAGCAGAAAATTATTACTATCATCCCACCTTATTGTATACATATTTCCAGCTTACATAAATGTCATTTCCTAATATTGCCTTAATCCACTGAACTGGAGTTTGATAAACTGAGTTGTTTCCAGTTTGGACTTTGCCATTTCCCAGAAGGCTAGCTTTATGTTTGGAATCCTGAATGAAAAAGAAAAAAAAATTAAGAATTACAAATTCCCTAAATTTGAGGGGAAATATGCAAATATTTCAGTTTTTAATAAAAATAGTTAAATAAGTATGCATAAATATAAAACAGTAATTAAAATTTTAAAAAACTTTCATAAACTCTTGCAATCTCACAAAGTCTATAGATGATTTATTTGCAGGTACTTGTAAGCAAAATAAACCTGAAACCCATAGCTCCATGAGCCCTCCCTCTCTTATCTGTATTAAAAATTCTGTGGTTTAGCACAGTTACTCATATTTGGCTTCCTTGGCTTTAGATTATTTATCATTTCTGGCTAATGCTACTAGATAGATAGCAGCCTATCCTCTGACAGAAGATTTATTTGTTTATTTAACATATTTTTATGCCACCGCGATCAAAAATGATTCTTGGTGGCTTGCATAAAAATAGAACTTGGGGAACTTGGGGAACTTTAACTACATTTGAGTTAAATTCCTCTATTCTGTCATTTGTAATGACAACTGTAGAAGTAAGTAACAGCTGCTATACACTGCTATCACAATAATACTCAGTATTGTCTCTTGCCTATGAACAGAAAGAACAATAACAGAAAAAGAAAAAAAGAGAATCGCAACCTTCCATAGTAGGGCTGAATTTTTTAGTGGCAACGTATGTTGAGTCATTATTGCATCTATGTTTTGCCCCAGAGCTTTTTAACATTATGCTGAAACACAATACCTACCATAGCAGAAAGGCATATCATAGTTTCCGAAACACAACACCACACTTCAGTTTGTGCTCTTAATGTTTAATTACAAAAACACTGTACTGTGCTTCCTATTTTAGAACACGAGAGGGAAAAAGGCTGGCAAGCAGTGTCAAAAGTGGTGAATCATGCCTGGAAGTGGTGAACTAGCTTCAATACCAAAATTCTAACCAGGGCTTTAACTTAATTTTTTACAAGTTTAATGCATGTACATTGGACAACTGGAAAAAGTAAAATGATAACCAAATATTCTAGATAAAGTATATAAATAATCTACAAGAATAATCTATTCATCTCAAAGCACAATTACCTTTTTATATTATCCTTTCAACCTCTTGCTCTTATCTCCTAAGCCCATATTTAATTACACAATCCTTGGAGCTGTCACAAATGTTAAGCATGAAGAACCATGAAGTCCAAAAGGTTACTCAGTCATTATTTCTGCTCTGACAACAAATGTTAACTACAGAGAATGTGTTTCATTTTCAGAGTTTTCCTTTAGAAAAGACCACTCCCAAGACTAGACAAAAATACTAAATCAGCTCCGATTTCCAATGTAATACTTGGTCAGGTATCTTCCAAATGTTTATTGATTTTTAATGTACGTCTAAATTCTAGGATAGTCTAGGTTATCAAAATAAGTAGATTTTGATCTAGGTTTGTCAGCTAGTTTTCCTTACCAAAGTGGCTCTAGTCAGAAGGATTTATCATAAGCAGTAGAATATTGTTGATTGCTTCATTTAAACCAGAATGTTTTATTCAAACACACTGGAAATCAAACTAGGACACATAAGACCAAATTTCAAGGTTTTTGCCAAAAAATGCTAATTCCACCTGAATTCAACAGAAAAAGATAAATATAGATACACCTTAATCCTCAGGATCCTCTGAACTACTTAGTTGCTTGGTAGGAAATAGCAGATGTCACCAAATATATAACATTTCTCTGGTATTTGTCAGGACAGAATATGATAGGGAGCTTCCTGTGGAGGCAGTAGGCTGCCCACTGGTATGCAAAAGTCATGTTTCTGAGACTGTGTGCAAAGAAAATATAAATATTCATTATATAGGGCATAAGTAGCCTCTGGGATTTATTATCCCAAGACATGGTGATGGCTGCTGATTTAGATGGCTTTAAATTCATGAGGATAGGTCTGTCCAAACTATTAGTTTTGAAGTCTCAGTCTTATCTCCAAGCTGGGAGCAGAATGCTTCCAAAGGAGCAGAAAGATGGGAGAGGAGTAAATCTTCATCTCCTGCTTATGAACTCTGTAGAGGCATTGGTACAGCTATCGGGAAAAACAAAACCAGCTTTGGCCTAATCCCTTAGGTCTATTCTAATGTTCTTACATACCACATCAAACCTTGTTGTAGGATCCACATTTTTCAAGGCCTAGTGGAAATTTTCCCTAGTGGAAAATATGTATATTGACTAACAAATGGGTACTTTTCCATTGTCATGAACATATTACATATGAACACCATCCATTAAATATTCAATTTACATTATCCCTAACATTTATAATATTTTGTTGTAGCATGCAAGTTACAAATGAGCTATCCTTTTTTTACATGTTAGGGATAATGGTTTCCTATTACTGAAAAATGAGTAAATGAAAAGTGTCCACTGGGGCCAACCTGTAAAAACCTCATGTTATCATTCCAACCAGAGACAAAAGCCAGCCAAAAGAAGTATAGCCTCTCTCAACTCTTATTTTCAGTACCAAGACAAAGAACAACTGAAATTCCACATTAGAGTTTCTAAATCTGTTCAAGAAATTAATATAGCATGACCAATTAATGTAACAAGGCTTTTCCAGAGAAGCTCAGTCAGGTTTCTTTGCTGGAACTGAATAACACTACAACTTTATTAATATATACCTTTCCATTTATAATTCTTCTGTAATTATTGAATAGGATTTTTTTCTGTAAATGTGTATGCATACACACACACAGAGAAAATCAACTTAAGAAAATTGTTATGTAGAGCTTTGGTAGAATGCAATATTTAGTATTAAGATTTTAAACATTGTGTATTAATATGCAACTATATTACTTTGCAAATTAATTATTTACCTGTAGTGTGAATTCTAGAACATCATCTCCTGGTTTAATTTTTCCCAGTTCAAGCAGACCTAATAGTTGATTTTTTTTCTTCTTGTTTGTCTTGAAATGTAGTTGTTTTTCAGAATCTTGATTGTTCGAATACTGGGAAGAATTCTGACTGATCCTATTTTGTGATATTACATGAGAAAATGTCCCTGGAGATTCTAAATTAACATTAACTGAGATTTTTTTACTTGGGGCTATGTTATCCTGATGAATACCAACAAAGCTATGTGTGGATTCTAACTGTGCAATAGGTTGTATTGAGAAAACATTGTTTATACGTGAATGCTGTGGCAATGTTGTGCAAATATTTTGACTTTCAATAGATGGCTGACAGATATTATTGTCATCATCATCATCATCACCTCCAGTAGCTGAGTTATTTAGTATCTGCAATCTTGATATGGCACTTAGGCTCTGGCTTTCTTGTGGTGTCATCGATATATAATCAATTTCTTTTGATTGTTGAGTAGAACAGGTAACAGAGTTTGGAAGCAATGTTGCTGAATCTGTAGCATCAGAGGATTCTGAATATGTTATTTCTGCAATGTTATATTCCTTACGTTTGCTTTCAAATACCAAAAGCTGTGGACAATCTTTCTCCTGACTATTAATTTCTCCATTGCCTCCTGATGTATCTGGAAATCTATCTGCGTGGTCTTGATTTAAAGAACTATTTTCCATGTCCCAGATGCTTTCCATACCCATAATTATGTTAGGGCATGGTACCGTTTCACCAGAAGTACCATTTTTTGTAGTGCTGTTTTCATAAGAATCAAGTGTGTTTGGGGCTTGGTTTGTTAGCTGTAAAGCCTCTTTTTTTGCATTTTTATAATTCTGTATTTTTCCCCCTAATTCTTTCTGTTTTCGTGCCATAAGCAAAAGGTTCTTTTGTCGGGCTGCAAGCTTTACTAGCCTTTCTCTCAGCACTCCCTGTTTAAAAGATTCCACAGAAGCTCTGAAATCAAATTTAAAAATATTAGCCGAGTTAACCGAGAATACAAGATACTGTATACTACCATGAATAACAATTTCTCTTTACCAATCTATGGAAAGGAAGTAAACAATATTTTAAAATGCAATACAAAATTTTAAAAATTCAAAATGTTTTTATTTCTAAAAAAAGTCATTAAGTAATTATCACAATAGCTAAAATCCTAGTATCTAGATCCCTGTCTAGCATTAACTGTTTGATACTTTTTCTAGCAGCAGGATGGATTATATCATTACTAAATTTATTATAGATGATTTTATTTTATTTTTTGCTTGTTTTATAATTACAGATGTTTTCTTTTTTATAATAGCTAAAATACAACTTAGTTTTTCTTCCACTTACCTGTATTTCTTTGCAAGCTCATCTCGTTCAGATTTCTGTCTGGCAAGTATAGTATTCAAAGAGTTCTGTATCTGAGAAAAGTCTTGGATGTACAGATCTATTCAAATTTTACAAAATTTTAAGAATGGAGATGAATTTTTATCATTTGCTGCAGATGCAATAAAATGCTACACTGGCAATATGTTGCAGAAAAATTAGCCAATATTCTAAACACCATACTGACTGTAGCCAATTTTATTCTATAATTTTCTTTACAGCTTGATAATTCTTTGCAATTCTGTATTCAATATTTTAAAAGGTAAAAATATAAATACATCAACAATAATTGTTCAAATTATACATCAACTGCATGCTTCATATGGTAAAAAGAATCCATTCTCTTTTGCAAAAGAAGTAAACATTGATTTCAGTGAGGCTTATTACTGAGCAAATATGCATAAAGCTGTGCTGTTATTTATTAGAGTTGTAGAGCACTTTGCATTCAGTTCAGAGGTACTGCAGACCATCTACAACTCCTTAAAACAACTGGATCTTTGACCAGGATATACTGGATTTCAAAAGTATTTGGTTAACTCAGATGGAAGCTACTTTGGATCCAAAGGCTTGAAATCCTGGAGAAAAGTGTCCAGGAAAGTTGGGAAACCCTTTGAAACCAGGTACTGAAGGTACAGTTACAAGCAATTTCAACTAGAAGGAAAAAATGGGAGTTATCTGAAGAACAAGTGTGGATGCATACAGAACTTTCTAAAGTGTTGAAAATAAAAAGGGATATGTATAGGCAAGCAGCAGCAGAAGAATCAGTAACAGTTCTGACCAAGTCATTACCAAGTTGGAAGGCTATAGAAACTGATGGAATACCCACTGAAATATGGCAAACAACAAAAGAAGAATCAGTAAAGGTTCTAACAAGCTGTACCAGCAAGTCTGGAGAACAACACAGTGGCCAACAGATTGGAAGAGGTCAATCTACATTCCAATACCAAAAAAAAAAAAAAAAGACAATGTGTGCAAACTATCTTATAATACCCTTAATTTCACATGCAAGAAAAATAATGCTTAGGCTCATCCAATGCAGATTAGAGATCTACATGGAAAAAGAGATGCCAGATATTCAAGCTGGCTTTAAAAAAAGCCAAGGAACACGAGACATTATGGCTGATGCACACTGGATAACTGAGAAAGCCAAAGAATATGAAAAGTCACTGTGTGCTTCACTGATTATAGAAAGGCCTTCATTGTGCCAATCACATCAAGCTGCGGAAAGTGCTCAGAAAATTGGGAATCCAACAACATCTCACTGACCTCATGAGAAATTTATATACAGGTCAGGAACCAAAGTACAGACAGAACATGATGAAACAGACTGGCTCCAGGTTAGCAAAGGAGTGTGAAAGGCTGTACACTCTCCCCTTATTTATTTAACCTATATGCTGAATATACATATTAAGGGAAGCTGGATTGGAAGACGATGAACATGGTTTTAAAACTGGAGGAAAAAACATCAATAATCTGCACTATGCTGATGACACTACCCTGATAGCTGAAAATTCAAAAGATCTGCAAGCCTTAATAATAAAAACCAAGGAGCACAGTGAAAAAAATGAGGATAAAATTAAAGACAAAGACCAAACTAATCACAACAGATAGAACAACTAGCCTTAAAATTGGCAATGAAGATATCAAAGTGGTGGATAGCTTCTGCCTTTTAGGATCAACCATCAACAATAAAGGAAAAAGCAGTCAAGAAATATGCCACAGACTAGCACTTGGTAGAGCAGTCATGAAGGCCTTGGAGAAGAAATTCAAATGCCATGATGTCTCTATACCTACAAAGATCAGAACTGTGTAAGCCATGGTGTTCCCTGTGACACTCTATGGAACTGAAAGTTTGACTTTGAGGAAGCAAAATAGGAAGAGTATTGTTGCTTTTGAACTTTGGTGTTGAAGAAGACTCCTGAGAATACCATGGACAGTCAAGGAAACAAACAAATGGATCATTGAACAAATCAATCCAGAGTTCTCACTTGAGTACAATGATTAGGCTCAAATTATCCTACTTCAGACACATTATGCAAAGACCCAGATCTCTGGAGAAGGCTCTTACTGCTGGGAAAGGTAGAAAGAAAGAGAAGAAGAGGATGACCAGCAGCAAGGTGGACAGACTCAGTTACAGTAGCGATGAGTACATCATTGGAGGAGCTGAAATACAGGTTAAAGACAGATCATCATGTAGAAAATCTATCTATCTGGTTGCTAAGAGGCAACAACAACTTGATGTCACATTATTATCATCATCAGAAGTGGAAGAATGGGCATATAACCAAAGAGGGATACAAGACAGTTCAAAACTAAAGGGATTGTTTTAGAAAGGCTAAAGTGCAGAATGAGCTAAGGCTTGTGAGAAATACCCAAAATGGCAAACAAAAAAGGCCTATCAATCAATCAATCAATCAATCAATCAAAGTTTATTGTGGTCTTGGACCAGTACAAGGATGATGCTCTGTGAAAGTATACAT